ATGGACATAGCTTTGCTGAAATCATCCAAATGACGTTTTATATCCTTTAAGAGCATTTTCTTTTCAAGTAGACAATCTAAATATCCGTTTGTGCGGATTAGCGTCAACGCAAACTAACAAAGCCGTGTTATAGCGACATTGATCCGATTGAACAGATTATTAAATGGCTGCCGCGATGAAAACTGCTCAAAAAAGGAGATCTGCAATGCAGCATAGCGGAAGTAATATAAAGTAACAGAAAGTTGTAATCCTCGTTTTCTTCAAGTTGCATACAAATTTTTTGAAACTAAAATGTCTATCTTTATAGCTCCTATGAAAATTAAAATTTACAAAGTCTTTTAGAGTCCAAAACCTACATGATTCAAGGAGACATGGATACAGTAAAATCTTCAACTAAAACAAGCACGGTGCTTTCAAGCTTGTCGTAAATCGGTTTTTCTGGTCTACTTACTAATGATGTGACACAAAGGATTTTCATTCACGCTTGAAGTTATCCAAATATAAAGAAAATAGCTTGCGCAGGTAAAGTATAGTTGGGAAGGCCGACTGCGTTTCTAATTTAGCGAACTATAGAGCATGACTCATCCAGAAATCACTAAAGAAAATTGCAGAAATGTTTTTTCTGCGCCGCTGACGATCAAATAGGCTAGTTGAGTCAAGCTGATTGTCAGGTTAAAATAGCGCAGTTTATGACAGAGTATTGTTCGCTTGATTTGTGGCTCGTAGATAAGAAAAACGAAGATCCTTTGAAGGAAACTGACTATATCTTGACATTATTTGGTGCTCAATAAAATTCAGAAAAGTTCGGGTGATATAAACATTACGGGTCTCCTCGAGATCCTCCTTGAGATTTGCGATTCCCATTATTTGTTTTTCTAAGCTTGCTAATGTTGCTGTTCGAAGAAACTTTAAGTTGAGTAGTGGAAAATTAGTAATAAAATGGAGTTGCTGTGCTCCGCTGTTGGACATAAATGTAGGGTATATATTCCAATTACTGCAATTATTATTAAAATACATGTACTTATCCCTGTCTGTATCCTATGCTAGCAAAATGACTAACAGTTTCAATTGTCAGAAAAAGTTTAAGAAGTCTTTTAGCTATCATACTCTTTACACAGCGAAAACAGTAACCCAGGAAAAAACCTTAAAAAACGAGCTCTATCTAATGAATCATCTAGAAAACCCTCATGGGATCTGCTCTGCATCTGTAAAGAACAGATTTTTCATCGTGAAATGCTCAAGCATTGAATGATGTCCATCAACATCAACATTCGTAATCCCGCAGCAATTTGCCGATTGAATAGATTGAAATGCATAAAAAACAGCGTTAACGCTATCGAATATGCATAGAAGGGCAATGAGCCGAAGGCTAAGGTGTAAATTAGCATGTTGATATGTGAAGACGAATCGACGAACGTTTATTGGATGAAGGGCTTCGGAAGGGAGAGGGGGTGCATTTTATGCCGATGGGGGAGTCCAAATTACCCACCTGATCTTGAATGGTAGCACTGGCTCCTCGTTCCAGCAAAGCTTGAACAACATCAACGTGACCGTATCTGGACGCGATGAGGAGGGCTGATTCACCAGTCTAAAAAGCTGAGGAAAATATCCGAAAAATTCTTCTGGAATAAGAAAATTGGTACTTTTTCCTTTAATATCCAAACAGCCCACTCATCCTTAAGTTAGCTGCTATAACTTTTTTTTTGTCTTAAAGTGTATTTTTACCTTATTCAAAGCATTGATGTCCACTCGCTCATTAGCCAACAAGGCGACCACGTTTGCATGTCCATTTCGAGCTGCCCAGTGCAGGGGGATTTCTCCTAGACATCAATATTTGAACACATCGCTTTGATAGTAAAAAAAAAATCAATTTTTCAAAATTTCGAAAGATCGCAATCAACGTGTAGCATCTCTGCCTTTCTTAGGTTTAAATTAGATTTAAATTTAAATACTACCACAAGGCGGTTAAAATCATGTGTTTCCTTATATATTAAAGTTTCAAGAATTTAAAGGTGTTGCGTTGTATTTCCAGTTTCTCTAAAAACGGTGGAAACTATGCGAGCTGCTATTTACATAATACAAAACAACAAAAGTCAACTTCTTTTCTAGAACGTTCCTCCATTTTACAAACCCCTACAGTGAAAGGATAATAAAATTTCATGATCCGACGGGATCGGCTCATTCTCAGACTTATTGTTGGTAATTAGACTGATATTGGTACCTGTAATCCCATGATCGTCGATCCCGATACTCTTAGTTTTAGGCGGTGTTTTGGACAATATTTTCATTGTTAATGACGAATTTAAACGAGAAACAACGTTTCGTGCTGATGTTTGCACTCCTTCTTTTTTTATTTTGAAAAATTAAGAAAATTTTTGTGATTATTTGAAGAACGCACTACCAGACGTAATCTTCCATCTAATGACTAAGGATACCGAGTGTAGCAAACGTTGAAAAATGTTTTGAAATAATTCATTCGATTTTGTAGAATAAATCCAGCAGAGTATGAATTGTTGAAGGAAGCCGAAAGAAAACAACCATGATCCTTAAATTAGCAGCGCTCTCCTTTTCTCAACTAATAAGCTATTTATTTCATACCTTTTTAAAACAGCAAAAAAAGTCACACCAAAAGAATTTTCTCGGTCCCTGGGTTCCAAATATTTCGGTCATATAGAAATTATATATGGTTGATGCTTTTGCATGATGTTTACGTGAACTAGCCCCAAAGGGTAGTGCGTTAAGTGCTCCTTGAGAACCGGTATTTATGAAGGCTGAGGTAAAGAGGAAGTGTGTCGATGTGAGGGTCGCCACTTGGGTTGAATTTGATTTTATGTAGAAACACCGAGTCTTCCTCACATTAAGAAAGACTTGCGACTTGATTCGATAACAAAGACGATATAAAACACTTGCTTTTAGCGTTTTGAATGTTGAAGTCATCAGGTGATGCGGGTAACACTTTTCTTTGAGCGATATGAGCCTTATTATATAGGCAATCC